GGGCAGCTGCCACAGCTCCCTCCCTAATGGTCCCCAGCAATGCCCCCCGCTGCCAGGGACAGGCTGGGGGGGCCACACACGCTGAATGTGATCCCCCCACTCTCCTGTGAAGGTGTGTCTCCCCCCCCAGGGACGCCTGGGCTGGGGTCACAGTGCCACTGCTCCACCCGGGCACAGAACAGTCCCCTGACCTCTCCAGCAAGGGGGGGGTCCCACGTCTCACACGATCCCTCCTTCCCCACGCTGGTCCTCGCTGTGCCCACAGCCCCCCCAGCCCCGTGTCTCCCTGCAGCCCCTCCCTCTCAAACCCCGGGTCTCCCTTAAGGCCCACCAAGCTCCCAGGTCTCCCTGCAGCCCCCCCTAAACCCCGTGTGTCCTTGCAGCTCCCACCCCCTCCCCAAACCCGGGAATGCAGCCCCCTCCTTCCCAAACCCCAGGTCTCCCCACAGGCCTCTCCAAACGCGGGCTCTCAATGCCCACCCCCCCCCGGGTCTCACTGCCCACAACCCCCCCGAAACCCAGGTCTTGCTGCAGCCCCCTCCCCAAACCCCAGGCCCCCCTGCAGACCCCCCTCCCCAAATCCCAGACCTCCCTGCAGCCCCCCCAAATGCGGGGTCTCCCTGCAGCCTGAGTCTCCCTGCAGCCCCGCTCCCCCCAAAATCCCGGGTCTCTCTGTAGCCCCCTCCTCAAACCCCGGACATCCCTGCAGCCCCCCTCCCCAAACCCAAGGTCCTCCCGCAGCCTGAGTCTCCCTGTAGCCCTCCCCAAATCCAAGGTCTCCCCGCAGCCTGAGTCTCCCTGCAGCCCCCCTTCCCAAATCTCGGGATCTCCCTGCAGCCCGAGTTTCACTGCAGCCCCCCCGCCCCAAAATCCCGTGTCCCCCTGCAGCCCCCTCCCAAAATCCCGGGTCCCCTTGCAGCCCTCCCTCCCCAAAACCCCAAGCCCCCCTTGCGGCCCCCCTTAGCCCAACCCCCCCCCCCCGGCCCCGCCGCATCCCCCCCCCCCCGCCCGATGTACCCCAAACCCCCTCCCAGACCCCGCTCCCAGGCCCGGCAGCCCCTCATTCCCTCCCCCAACGCCGCCAGGCCCCGCGGCGCCCCGGAGCGCGGCCCGCCCGCCGGCGCCCGCGCCCGGCAGTACCTTGTACTTGCTGAAGCCGGCGAGCTGCTCGGGGCTGACGTACTCCATGGCGATCCCTGTTATCCCGGTGTTCCCGGCGCTCCCGGCGCTCCCGCTCCCGGCGCTGCCGCCGCCGCATCGGCCCACCCGGCGTGCCCGTGACGTCACCGCGCCCCGCCCCGCGGCCGCGGCGCCCCCTGGCGGCCGGGAGGGCCCCGCGCGAGAGGGCGGCGGGAACGGCGGGAACAGCGGGAAAAAGGGATCCGGGAGCGACGCATCCGCCCCTGCCCTGCGGCGCCGTGGGGTCGTTCCGCGTCCGCTGGCACCCCGGGCCCGTGTACAGACTCCCTGCCCAGCGCTCTCGGAGCCCCTTTAGGCACTGGAAGGGGCTCTAATGGCTCCCCGGGGGAGCTGCTTCGCCTCCAAGTGTCGGACAGTGCTAAAGTGCACCGGGGTCTGAGCTTGAGAGGGGACTGGTAGAGTGCTGAGGGGTTGGAGCTGAGGGGCTGGACTGAGGGCTGGCTGTGGATGGAGCTGCGAGGGGACGGTTGTGAGTCGGGCTGTGTTTGTGAGGGGTGAGGGGACGGTTGTGAGGGCGGGCTGTGTGTGTGAGAGGTGAGG